CACCTCCCCATCCACACCTCTGGATTGCAGGCTGCGCCCGCCAGCTTGACCTGCCTCAGTTTCCTCATCTTAGAAATGGGCCACTCAGATTGTCCCCGGGGGTCATGGTGAGCATTCCCTGAGCGATGGCCCCGAGAGCTCACTGAGGGACGGCCTGTGAGCCCTCTGCTCTCCAGGCTGGCCTGGCCTCCCTGCTCCTGACCGTGACTCCAGCTGCCACACCCGGGCTCCGGGCCCTGCCTGCCCTCACGCAGCCCCACCGCTGTAGGGCGCCAAGGCCCCAGGGAGCCCCCTCATCCAGGCCTCAGGGGCTGCTCCTCTGGGAACCCTCTCCTCCCCTGTGCTCGCTGACCACACCTGCATCTCTGCTCTCTGGAGGCCCCGGACACTTTGCCCAGCTCCACCCCCACCTCTCACAGCAGCCAGACACTGAACCCCTTCTCCTCCTCGGGGCGCCTGGTCCAGGCCATCACCGCCTGCCTGGACCTGCCATCCCATAACCCCTCCTGTGCCTGAAACGCAAACCTGACTGTCACGCCCTTCAGGAGCCCTGTTTTTGAGGATCAAGTGCACGCCCTGCGGCCCGGCCCTGCCCCTCCCTGCCTGACTGCAAGAGCCGTCTGCCCTCCTCTCCTGGTCCAGCCCAGGCCCCGCTTCAGGCTACAGCTCCTACCCTGCCCCGGGGGGCCCGCACAGGGTCACTTTCCGCGTCCCCACCAGGCTGCACAGCTCCCCGAGGTGCCCCGGGGAGCACTTACCGGTCCCCGTGGTCTGAGTGGCACGCGGCCCCCACGCTGGCCAGCAGCATCCTGCACTGCGCCAGCACCACGCGGCCTGGGGAGAGAGCACAGGCCCCTGAGGCGGAGAGTCCTGGCCGGGCCCCCAGCGCAGGTGAAGCCAGAGGCGCACCCTCCCTTTCAGGGGCAGGTGACAATAAATGAGAGTCTCCGTCACCTTCACATTAACACAGGTGGTCAGTGACACACAGTCTGCCCCAGGAGAAGCGGGCGGGGTGGCAGGAGCGTAGCTTTCACAGCAACAGGCCTGGAGACGAGGACACGGCCGCCTGTCCCCTCCCTCGGAGCGAGCGGCCCGGGGTCTCACTAGGGCAGCCCGATGCTGCTCAGGCTTCTCCGCGGTGCAGACACGCGGCCCCTTCTCTACAACCCAGGACCACAAACAAGCAGCGGCCTCTTCTCCCAAGAAGCAGATGTGCTCTGTAGATGTGGCTGTGGGGCCCCCACCCCCATTCTCCTCCCAGTGACACACAGCAGGCTGCCCCGCCCTGGACTGGGCTTGGGGCCCCAGGGCCTGGGAATGTGACAATCCCGACCATCTTAACGGATTCCGGCAGGGGAGGGGCTGTCCCAGGGACAGAGGAACCCCGAGGACTTGCACTTGTCCCCACGCTCAGCCAGGTTTCGAGTCGGCCGCCCCTACCTGCCCTTGACCCTTAAAACATCCTGTGAAATTTGCTGGAAAACAAGGCCCACCTGGCCTACGACGCAGTTCATTTCACCTCCTTCCCTAACAGGTTTCAGGAGCATCCTGGGCCCTGGACACCGAACAGTCAGGGAGACAGAAGGCGACAGAGCCCAGGCCACGGCTGACAGGACAGCTGCTGTCCCCTTGGCAAGTGACCCCACAGCGCAGCCTGGCCCGCGCCCACCACCCCACGGGGACCAGCAGGAGGCAGCCATCACCTTGGAGCTGGGGTCCCCGGAAGGAGAAGTTACATGTGTTGGGGAGTCGCTCGGCCCCTGGAAACTGGCTGTTCAGATGGATTTTCTTCTCACCGAATTCGGCCTGAGAATCAATGAAATGCTCAGTGACGGCTCCAAACACCCTCCTG